AAGAAGAGGCATGGCACAGTTGCTAAGGGTGTGGGCGGTGGACTCAGCCTGCCTGGGTCCTGATCCCAGTTCCATCATTCCCTAGCCAAGTGACCTTGAGTATGTTCTTCCTTTAGACTCTCCCTGCCTATTTCTTCATATGTAAAATGCGGATAAGGATAGTAGTTCTTACCTTACAGAATTACCATGGGAGCTAAATAAGTTCAAATGTGTCAAGAATTTAGAAGAGTTTCCTATGATTATTGTCATTATCATGGTCAAAAATATCACTCGAGGAGGCCAGAAGGATCCCTCCCTACAGGGTGGGCGTGGCCAAGGAATGCTTTTTGGGAGGAAGTAGAAGCTGAAAGACAGAGAAGTCCAGACCTAAGGCCTAGCGGGCAGCATGTTTGAGCACCGCACAGCCCCAGGTCAGTGAAAAACAGCAAAGAGGCAAGGTGGCAGAAAGTACCCCTAAATAACAATAATAGTGAGAAATCTGTTCATATTATCGGATTTACTACTCACCAGGTAGGTAGGTACATATAGCTCCATTTTATAGCTGACAAAACGGAGGCTCACAGAGGTTAAGTAATTTGCCCAAAGTCACCCAGTGCTGTTTATCCCAGAGCCCCTGCTCCCCACCATGACACTTTCCTGCCCCAAGCTCTGTGTATACAACTCAGCATGCCTTTGGCTTCATCTCTATTCTGGCCCGTTTCCCACACGCCCCTCTTTGCTTTTCCCATTTAGAAAGGCCTGCTCAGGTGGGGGGCTGCTCAGGCCAGATGTCTGGGGCCAAGCACTTCCCAAGCTGCCTGCTGGTAGCCCCAGCCTGACTTGACCTTGGCCTGGAGCAGAAAAGCTGGCTGCAAGTGCGTGTCTCACACCTCAGACAGGCCAGCCTTTGGCCAGCCCAGATAAAGGACAGGAAATCCTTGGCCACCTCCCCTGGAGATTGCTCCCTCTACCATGGGAACAGAGTTGCAGCCTGGGCAGAGGTTCCTCTGTAGTGAGGAAGCTGCCGAGTCAGCCCCAGCTGCCTTGGCTGCCGGGTGTGGTTTGGGGGAAATAGGCAGGGCTGAGCATCAGGAGACTTGGGCTCCAAATTCTCCCTCCTCGGAGACCAGGCCCTTCCCCTATCTGGGCCCCAGGTGGGCATCAGCAAGGATCACACTGCTTATCTTACCAGGCTACTCTGAGAACAGAATGGAATCGTGGAAGTGAAAGTGCCTTGGAAATGGAAAGAAATAGGAAGACTCATCGTGGTCATCATCATCAACTGCAGGGGAGGAATGGCTGAGTTGGTGTTTCTCCCCGTCTGATTCACCCTTCTAGGCCCCACTGTGGGCATGGCTCATACTCATTTCCGGCTTCGATGCTCCTCAAAATATCCCCTTCCCCCCACCTACACCAGCTCAAGGGAAGAAAGCAAGTGGCAGGAAAACAGGATATACTGGCAGCCCCCACAGGGTACACTGCAGTCAACTCGTCAAAAGTGAGCACCTCCTCTCACCAGACTTGCCCTCTGCTATGAGGGCCCCAAGAAGAACGCCCTTGCCTCCAAGGGCTCCCCAGTCATGAGAGCTGACCGGGCCTGACCAACAAACAAATCAGAGAGTTGCATGAGGTGTTTGGACCCAGGACTCTGGGGGTTCAAAAGGCACCTGCTGGAATCACCAGGAAAAGATAATGGAGAAGTCTTGTAGAAAAGTTCAGGCTAGGGGCTCCTGGGTGAGCCGTCTGCCTTCGGCTCGGGTCATGATCCCAGGGTCCTGGGATCGAGCACCGCATCGGGCTCCTTGCTCAGCGGGGAGTCTGCTTCTCCCTCTCCCTCTGCCTGCCACGCCCCCTGCTTGTGCTCTCCCTCCCTCCCTCTCTCTCCACTCTCTCTCTCTCTCTCTCTCAAATAAATAAATAAAATCTTAAAAAGAAAGAAAAGTTCAGGCTAGAAATAAACAGAGGAGAGTGAGGGACTTCCAGAGCCCCATTTCCCATTCCCAGGGCCACCAATAGTAGCGTGTGCAAAAGACAGTAACGAGGCTGGGAAGGGGACTGGTCCCAGGTCCCTTGAGAAATACTTGGAGGAACTGAGACTGTTTGGCATACAGAAGAAGCAGGGGGACTTGGGTTCTGTCCTCAGACCTCTGGAAATCAGAGAGAACAGACACTGGCTAGGTGGTCCCAGGGGGCAGAGCTGGGACCCAGGGTTGTAGAAGCCATGGGGATATGGCATTCAGTTCAACATAAACAAACGCTTCTGGACGTCCCAGGAATGAAAGCAACTGCTTTGAAACATTGTGCTCCCAGGTACTGAAGATGGGGACACAAGAGCTGTACACATACCTGGTGGAAAGATCTAGGTTCACAAGGAGAGTTGGACCGAGTGTCCTCTAAAGGCCCTTCTCCCCGGAGCTCTGTCTGCTTCCTACCTCTGGGGTATTGTGGGAGAAAGCATAAAGGTGACTGGGGCTGGCTGAGCCCTTGGCCACTTCCCACAGAGACCTGGGATCCCAAGAGCACCTCGGGCTGCTACTACCCAGGGAGAGCAGGTGACTCATTAACTTGTGGCTGAATGGGTCAGAGGGTGGCCACTTGGGACACACACAAACATGGGGAGGGGGCTGGAAAGCAAACTGCACAAAAGCCCATGGCTCAAGGAAAACCCAAGCTGTGGCAGTTCAAGGCCTTTTCAGCCCAAACTGACCAGCCAACTGGCGAAATTTAGTGACCGGGCCTGGCAGAATTTAAAGCCAACTGACCTTTGCCTTGTGGACAAGCAAAAGGCTTTGGTTGGGAATGCATAATCTTTGGCTGGAATGGAACCTGAGAGACCACTGAGTGCACGCCACCTGCCCTGCCAGTTTTAAAATCGTGGAAACTGAGGCCCAGAAAAAGCAAATGTCACTCATGCAGAGGCAGCTACAGAGAGGCACAACCAGAAGCCAGGCTTCCTGACTCTGTCCCTAAATGTTGGTTCCTTCTTCTTCTCACTGAAATTGCAGAAAACCGCTTGGGGTCCAGAGCTTTCCCAATGGGACCTGGCCTGACCCTTCCCAATTCCCACTGCTTGTCAAGATACAGGCTCTTGCAGGAGGCCTCAGCCTTACAGTGGTGGCTGCGATGTGGCTGACAGCCCAGGCCCCTGCCTAGTGTGGAGGAGGGACCCACAGCTGCACTGAAAACGGACACACGCGCAGCCCCACTAATGGCAGATCCTTTGGGTGGGTATTTCTCGCTCTTTCAGACTGACCTGAGTGGGGGGGTCAAGTGCTCCCGGAAACCCCCAGCGCCTTCTGACTCTGATGCCTAAAGATCCCCCTTACCCCACTGGCCATCTGAATCCCTATCAACCCAACTCCCTGACCCTCTCAGTAACTACCCAAACGAACGTGTGTCCTTCAGCAATGTGAGGAACGGCTTCCGTCTGCCCAAACGAGGACAGAGGGGCAGATATTTAATTGGCCCCGGAAGTTCCCGTGAAGGAATGTTTGTTAGTGTCCCCTTGGGGGAGGCGAGGGTTAAGATGGGACCCCCTTAAGGCCTGGGGTGAACAGGGAGTTAGTTAATGGCCATCCCCCAGAGGTGACTTTTCAAGGTGGTTATTATGTGGCTCAATCATTAACCAAGCAGTGGCAGGACCCCAGGCTTGTTGGAAAGGAGCCACTCCTTTCCCAAGGACAGCCCAAGAGCAGGAGGCTGCAGCCAGGGAGAGCACTCGTGGGGTCTTGCCGTCCTCTCACAGCCTGCTCTGGAGCAGTGGGAAGAGAGGCCCGGATGAGGGAAGCTCTCCCTCAGCTCCACATGGGGGTGGAGGAGGGCTGGCCCGGATGTGGAGGAAGTCAGCACACCCTTACTGAAGCGGAGGGAAAAGGGAGACAGTGAGGGTTTTTATCATGAATGAGAGAGGAAGCTCCAAGCTGGGCCTTGGTGATTAGATGACAAGCTGGGAAAGACGCTCATCCTGAATGCATCCTGTTTTGCTCCAAAGTGGCCTCAGGGACCAGGGGAGGGGCTAGGAGGAGAGGAGCCTCCCAGGAATTCTCCCAGGCCTGCTGACCTCAAGCTCCTGGGTGGCCCTGGAACTGGGGAGGCAAGTGGGAGAGGTTACCCCATTTACTGTTAGAGGAGCAAGGCACAAAGTTTCTTGTGCCTCTGGAGCGGCAGTCCCAGAGACTGCGGCTAATGCTGTAAAATGAGGGGCTGGGGCACCCTAATCGCTCCAGCTCTGACTCCGCCCGGGCCTCTCTTCAGAGGTTCAGCTCAAATGTTACCACCTCGCCTCTGTCAGTCACCTTCCCCTTAGTCAAAAGCAAGGGCTCCCTAGTCAGGCCTACCTGGGCAAAACAGCTCCCTTGCCAATTGGAAATATCAACACTGTCAGGATATCTGATGATATTAAGGGGCTATTCTAGGTGTGCTAATGGTACAGTAGCTATTTTTTATGAATCCTTATCTATCTATCTACCTATAGAACTACTTATAGATAAATTGGTAAGATGTCTGGGATTTGTTTCAAAACAAGAAAGAAGGTGAAGTAGATGGAAGTATTAATAGGCAGGTTATAGCCATGGGCTGTTGAAGTTGGGTGATGAGTACAGAGGGCCCAATTACACCCATCGTCTCTACTTTTATACATGTTTGAAAGTCTTCATAATCATTTTTTTAAAAAGCCCTCACTGAGGTAAAGACTTAGTATGCCATGAATTATTTACGCCACAAACCCCCAAACTAGATTCCCTGAAGATGGGGGTTACACTCTGTGTCCTCCGCAAGACCTAGCCAAGCCTGAACTTAATGACTAATCATTTGTACGGTACTTGCTAGTTTACAAAGCACTTAGCCATGGATCCCCTCGTTTAATCCAGTGAAGTGGAAACAGTGGGGAGAAACTAAGAGTCTGAGAGGTCACAAGGGGAGCAGCGGGGCCTGGATTTAAACCTGCCATATGTCCAGCTCCCAGGCCCCTGTCCTTCGCCCCCCACCACCCTGGATTCCTGAGGAACTTAACGTCCGCTTACCTGTACCAGTTCCCTGAGGGTCGGAGTAAACAGGGACAGCAATAGGCGACATGTGAGTTCCCAAAGTGGAGGGTTGGGCAAGAGCAGACTCAACACACAAACACAGCATTTCAGACCTGTGACAGACTGATTCGAAGACTATTAGTACCCCCTCGTCACATACACACGAACCAAGAACGCGCGCGGGTCACAGATGAAAAGAGCCTTAATAAACACTGGACAGCAATAACTGTGGGCCCAGGTCTGTGCTCAACTACTTTGTTTAGGGTTGCAGGATGGGGGAGATCACACTTCCCATCCTAGAGCCCTTGTATTTTTGAGATCGTTTATCTCTATTTTATCTGATAATAGCCTCCCAAGGGCCCAGGGCCCAAGGCCAAGGCACTTGATCTTACCCAAACCTGAAGCCCAAAGAAAAAGTTCTATTTTATTCAAGCCAGAGGCAATTCCTTCTTCCAGCCAAAGACCCCTTGCCCCACCTTCTCCAAAAAGGTGAGGGCACAGTCTGCTTTTGTTAAGCCTGCCATCCACGGAACCTGAACATTCCGTGGCTGGAACAGAGAACTCCAAGAGGGTCCTAGCAGAAAAGCGCCAGCAGCTGCAACAGCATCCAGATTAGAGACTCCTTCCTCTCCCCCCTTTGGAACCTTCTTGCTTTTGTGTTGCTGCGGGTATCCCTGTAGCTGGCTCCAGGGGTTCTCTGCTCCCTCTCCAATCCCTAGCCCTAAGGGCAGAATTTTAAAACTTCAGGAAGGCAGAGAGGGTCAAAGTTCAGGCCTCTTTGTGCCACTTTCTCGGCTCCTGTGCTCAAACTCAGGAGCCGTGCTTTAATAAGGAAGGCCCTTCCATCCCCCCTGCACAACTCATGCCCCACTCCTCAGCACTCACACAAGCTACACAGCGCCTTTGTGCACCTTCTGTCCCTCTTCTTGCTCTAAACACCTCCAGGTATCTCTCAACCGTGTCTCCTCTCCCAATGGGGGAGGGGAGCTGCGGATGCACCGCGAGGTTTAGCATACTTCTCTAACAGTTGCTTAAGAGATGGACAGAAGGCCAGTGAAGATGGGAAACGGGATTCTGTCCATGTGGTGTTTTCTAGCCCTAATGACAGAGGTCCAGGGAACAGAAATTCCAAACCCCAAATCCAGAACAAAACTGGACAGAGGTCATATGCTGCAAATGAGGACCAAACCCAGAATGTCCAGTGATAGGGCAGCTGTAGCTTTAGGGCGAATGAATCCCCAACCCCCAACACCATCATTCCCATCACACTCTTACCCAGTTGCTCCATCAACCATCCATAAACCACCTGCAGCCGTGCCTCTTTCTCTGTGCCCTTGGGCTGGCTGCCTTCCCATCCCCAGATAGAAATTGTCTCTCCTTTATTCCTGGCAGATGGAAATGAGGGGAAATTTCAGAGAGAGAGCAGTCAGAAAAGATGGTGGGTGGAGACAGCAACCCTCAGAGTGAGGGTGGGCACGGGTCCCACAGTAGGAGTCCGGGTTTGAAAATAGCCCTGGGTGTGATTCATCACCCTCTCCTCCTACGTGGGCAGACCTCGGGGCTCCAAGGGGGACAGAGACAAGCCAGGCTTCTCCAGCCCGACCTCTGGGGTCCCAGGCTCTGAGTTGGCCCCACTCCTCCCCACCTTCAGTCTGGCTGCTGTCCTGCTCACCCTTCCCGCCACTACTAGTTTTCCAGCTTGCTTGGCGGCATAATCACCACAAAGCTTTCCATCTGCATAGCTTCTGTCGCCCCAAGGATCTCAAAGACAACCTTTTACCTACCAGGGAGGAGCCTGAACCCGTGTGACAGGTCAAAATGTCATGGAAGAGACTGGCCCTTTAGATACTGAAATCCAGCCCAGCACCTGAAGTTGAGTACAGCTGAAAGTGAACAAGTGCAGTTGAAAACACTGTGGCCCGCAGAAGTAGCATGACTCACGTGTAAGGTCACATGAATTAGTGGCTGAACCCCAGTTTCCTGAGTCCTAATTCGGTGCTCCACTTTAAAGAGTGTTGGAAGAAGAGAAATGGAGAGACCCCCAGACTACCTAATTTGGAAATCCCAAAAACTTCCACTAAAAGGAAACCTTTCCTCAGAGCTTCTGTAATCCAAACCCATTTGGGACTTCATGGGGCAACTGAGCCCTGAAAGATGCGACTTATCCAAAGGTTTTCACTTGATCCCCACAGCTGCCTTAATACCAGGAAAGTCCGGAGCGTTTCTCAGAAGGGAGGACAATGGCCAAGGGGAAAGCCCATAGGGCCCGACCGGGGATTCCTGGAAATACCCTCAAAAGCAGAGGAAGGAAAAGGGTAGGCGAGGTGGCACCGAGCCCGAAGGGCCGCCCCCCCTGCCCAGTACCAGTCCCCCTCCAAAGCCCCACAGCTCTGGCTCCAGAATTCCGGCCAAGCCCGGGATAACGGGCGGAAAGCCTTCTTCTACCACCCGACTCGCGGGGCTTCCCTGGGGAGAAGCGCTGCCAGCGGGCTCAGGGAGCCCCCCAGTTTCGGCGACTCCGACCCCAAAGCCCCGGGGGCGAAGGTGGCTCGGCCTGCGTCCTCTGCGTCTCCTGCGCGCGCTGCCCTGCCGAACCGCTAAGAGCGGGGGCGGGCCAGAGCGCGCCGGGGACTAGGCCGGGCCAGGGGGCCCAGGAGGCCCCGTTGGTCCGGATTTTTGCCTGACGTCGCCCCAACTCCTACCTGGAGGCCGCGCCCACCACTCGGGGTTCGAGACCCTGACACGGCGGCCAGTGGGCAGGAGGTGAGTGCAGGAAGGACTGCTCCCGTCCGGGGCACGCGCGGAGCCTGGGGTCGGGCGGGGGTAAGGGTGCCAGCCAGAGGAGCAGCTGCCGCGGCTGCTTAGCTGTTGTCAACCCGAGGCCACTTTCGGCGCAGGTGGGGAGGGAACGGGCGGCGAGTGGGGCGGTAGGGACGCCCCGCCCACCTACAGGACCCTCGACCAATGAGGGCGCAGTCCGGCCCACCGGCCTCCCCAGAAAGTCGCCCAAATTGTGGTGGGCGGGGCCCTGCCTCCTAGCTCCTCCAATATCCGCGCGGCTGCCTCTTGCTCAAGTCACACCGCTGGTGGGGAGGGGGTAGGCGGGGAGAAGGCACCGCCGGAGCTCGCGACGGAGGGTGAAAGAGCGAGCAGCCGGCCAGGCGCACAGACTATTGGGCTCTGAATGTGCCTGGCACCGTATGGGGGATTTAAATACATGTGCCATGTGCACGTGAAGGTTCAGTGGCTTGCTGCGGGTAATTTACGGGGAGTTCAGAAGACAGCTTCAGTGAGATCTCCGATTAGTGGGGACAACCAAGAGACAATCTTGGGCATTAACAATTTGAGCAGGAAGTTGCCATTCCCACCTTGCTCAGGCCCCAGCATTCTGCAACTTGCCCACTACCCCCAGCTCTCTGCCTCAAGTCCAAACTCTACCTCCGCGGAGAACGCATGGAAAACTTGGGGCATATGCATTAATCATGACAGGCGAGGGCTCCCAAGAGTGTGACGTCAGAAAGCTGGCTTAAATTCTATAAGAAACAGAGTTTTAAGATTTGATTTCTCTCTTGCCTTTCCTCACAAGGGTCCAATACAAGTTCACAGCCATGACTTCACTGTTGAATTGAGGACTCCCATTAGTGGGGACTGGGAGTACTGGGAGTACTCGAGACACCCAGTTCTTTAAAAAAAAGTAATCAAACCAGACAACCGAAAAAGGGAAAACTACAGAAAGTACAAAAACTACAAAAGAGCAATTGCTGGTGCCTGGGTGGCTCAGATGGTTAAGCGTCTGCCTTCGGCTCAGGTCATGATCCCAGGGTCCTGGGATCGAGTCCCACATCGGGCTCCCGGCTCAGCGGGGAGCCTGCTTCTCCCTCTGACCCTCTCCCCTCTCATGCTGTTTCTCGCTCGCTCGCTCTCTAAAAAATAAATAAAATCTTAAAAAAAAAAAAGAGCAATTGCTATAAATAAGTAGAACAAGAACTTCACAGCGCCTGGCATAGAGTACGTACTCAATAAAAACATCTTTTGAATGACTAAGTGAACACAATAGTCAGGAAAAGCTACAATCCTAATATTTGCCATGCACACTGTGACATTTTTAAAATGGCCAAGCCAAAAAAAATAATAATAAAATAAAATAAAATAGCCCAAGCAATGTCCAGGCTATTTCTTTGGGTCTTTCTTGATCTTCTCTTAACCCATGAGCTTTAGAAAGGCAAGAACTCAGCCTCTTTAGAAGGAGATAGCTCGTTCCCTTCAATTCTTGCTCCCTGATCTACCCCCCAGGCCCTGACCTAAGTCAGAGCCTTGCGTGGAACAGATACATAGTAATGGTGCCTGGAACAGATGAGGAAATGGTACCTTTTCACAGTCTCCTTTCTGGGCTGCATCTCGAGTGGCTCTGGTGATAACTGGAGCCTTTAGGTCCTCGGTGTCCCTTTTCCCACAAGCCCCCACTATTGCCTGTGTGTCCTGCAGTGCTGTTACCGGTGCTACCCTGGACGCCAGCTCGGCCATTAAGGGGGGAAACGTAGAGTGCAGGAGAGCAGGCTGAGGGCGGGCGGAAAAGCCTTGGGGTGCACGTATGCATTTCTATGCCCTAGACATGGGGCTTCCCTCTGTCTGCCCCTACCAAAGCCCAGTTGGGTCATACAAAGAGCAGTATGATGGATTCTGGAGCCGGACAGCCCAAGCACAAAGCCCAACTCTGCTACTTACTAGCCATGTGACCTTAGGCCAATTACTTTCCACCTTTCTGTGCCTCAGTTTCCTCACCTGTAAAGTGCGGATCATCACAGTCCTGACCTTATATGGCTGTTAGGTAGATCCACTGGGCTAAATAGCACTTGGAATGGTGGCTAGCTCACAGTACATGCTCCTAAGTGTTAGATATGGTGACAGAGGCACTGGGCAATGAAGTAAAAGACTTGGGTACTACTCCAGTTCTACCACTTTCTGGCTGTGTCACCGAGGGGAAGGCATTGTGCCACTCCAAGCATCAGCGTCTCCACCGGTGAAATGAGGATAGAGCATAATCCCTAGCAGGCAAAATTAAGACAGTGGATGTGAGGATGTGCTGTAAAGGGTGGTGGCAGGTGACGGGATGGCCAAGCAAGGTGTTGGACAGCTCAGCTTCTTTCCAAGGCCAATCAGCTCTTTTCTTCTAGGAGGTGGCAGAGAGAAACTCCAGATGCTGTTACTGTGAGCCACACTCCAAGACACTTGGGTCCCAATAAGTGCCTATCTGGACTTCTGACGGCCCCCACAGCCCTCCCTGTCTAGGAATGGGGATTCTTCCGACTGTTGCAGGCAGACCCATAGCCCCACTCTGGAATGGCTGAGGGTAATGAAACAGGTGCTTCCACTACTCTTTTTCCATGGAGCAAAAGGATCAACAGCAAATAATTCCAGGGAACCCAGCTGAGAAGAGAGAAGGCGGGTAGGAACCACGAGGGGGAAATGAATTACACTTGGACCAGCCCTCACACTTGCACACACGTTCCCGCCTACCTCATCAAGAGCCCACCAGTCAAGCCTGGGACGGGAAAGGCCTGCTCTTCGAAGGTTCAGGGGCCCCCACCCAGCTTCATGAAAGGGGGCTACTGATCAGATCTCCACAACATGAGACAGTTACAGCTCATTAAAAAAAAAAAAAAAAAAAAGGCCTCAGGAGCCATGCCATGGCAGGGGAGCTTGCACTAAGAGGGGCAGCCAGAACAGGACCAATGTAGGAAGAAAGGGATTTGGTAGTGGGAGGGGCTTGAAAAGGTGAGGGGTGACAGGCACCTCGCTGTGCATTGCTGAGTGGGAGTGGGGGATGGAGCTAAGCCCTGGGAGGAGCACAAAGACCACCTCACCTCTCAGCCCACAGCCCAGGAGACCACTATGGCCGTGCCCACCCCACACCCAAGAGTACCCTGAAAGGGGGGGGCTCCATGCTGGGTTGACTGTGAGGAAAGCTGGAGTACTGGCTGAGCCAGGCACAGGCCAGGGGAGTTTCAGGGATCGCTTACTCTCCCAGGACACCCTCCCCCCGAACTCCAAGCTAGGACACAGATGCATTTATTCCCTCTCACCTGCCTCCTGGAACTATTGAAAGGAATGTTTGGGGCAGCTCAGGATGAACCTCCAGGCACTTGGACTAGGCAGCTGGAGAGGGAGAACCCAGGCCCCCTCAGTCTCTGCCTCCCACTCTTCCCCAGACACCCAAGAGCCTGCCCCCATCTTACCAACAGATGCCAGGCAAAGTGTCAGCTGCTGGAGAGCCGGCCCCCAGCATCCGCACAACAGACCCACTGAGCCATGACAGTGTGGCGGGCCCCATTTCACACCCAGGATGGGCCCCTGGCCTGGCTTTACTGGCTCCTTTGAGACTGGCCAGTGAGATGGTGAGATGAGCAAAAGCAAGTCAACTTCTAACACGAACACCCTCATCCTGCCCCACTCCACCCTCATGCACAGCTACAAGCAGCTGAGACCAGAGGAACCCTCCCTGTGCCCCCCAACAATGTTCCCCTCTGCCTGACTTAGTTTCAGCCATTGAGCTCGCTCCTTCCTGGCCAGGTTCAGTTTCCTCACCTGGAAAAACAGAGCTGGGTCCTGGGTTCTTGGATACCTTCTTTCTTTTATTTTCTTTATTTTCTTTTTCTTTCTTTTTTTTTTTTTTTGAGAGAGAGGGGGAGGGGAGGGGAGGGCAGAGGGAGGGGCAGAGGGCCCAGAGCCCAACGAGGGGCTCAATCTCACAACCCTGAGATCATGACCTGAGCAAAATCAACAGTCGGATGCTTAACCGGCTGAGCCACCCAGACGCCCCTGGTACCTTCTTTCCATTACATTCTCTGCTTCTGTGAGCTTCTCTGTGTGTTCGTTCCCGTGGGGGTGAGGCTCCCAGAAACCCAACATCCCTGGAGCTTCTGCAGAGGAAGGGAGTACTTGGGGTTGTAAGAGTCCTCTGAGGATGAAGAGAAAGAGCAGAGGAAAGTGAGAAAAAGGAAGGAGGAAGGCTGAGTTCAAAGGCAGAGAAAGAGGCGGGGCGGGTGCTGAGGTCAAACCAGCCTAGAAGTCTAGAGACCTGGCCCCTGCCTCCAGCACTGCTTCTAGCTCACCCGGTGGCAAAGGACACACAGAGCCTCTGAACAGAGCTCAGGATCCCGCCCCCTTGCCTGGGACCTTTCCACTTGTCCCTCAAGGGAAGCAGCTCCTGGGACAAAACAGAAAGGGTGAGGAGGAGATGGAGGAGGAAGAAAGAGTGGGCTCTTCCTTCCCACCCAACAGGCTGCCCCGTCAGTCCACTATGGTCTGACCTCATGCTGCAACCAGATACAGCGCCCACAAAGTTGGAGGGCTGCGGGTGGGAGGTGGGAGCGGGGGATTCGCTTTCACAGGCCTGCCCAGAGTCTGGCCCAGTCCAACCCTGAGATTATGGGTCTCTAGGGCTTGGTATTCTCAATTCAAGCAGACAGAACCATGCCCTGGCCACCCACCCTGTCTATTTCCCCTGAAGAATAGTCCGCAGAGGCCCCTGGGTGACATCAGAGAGGGCACAGGATGTGTGGTGACGCTCGAGGGCCACTCAACTAAGGGTCTGGGCTCTTGAAGCGCCTCTCAGTGTGCCCTTCTCCAAACATAGCTACCCCCTCCACACCCCTCCACACACACACACACACACACACACATTCTCACTAAATAAAAATTCTGAGCTGATCTACAGCCAGGGCCCTGGTTTTCCTATACATATGTATCAACCCATCAGTCAACATGGGCACCCAGGCACTGGGCGTGGAGGGGGGGTGGCGGCGGTTGGAGCAGAGAACAAGGCAGGTAGGCCCAACAGCCAGGGCCTCTGCCTTATGGAACTCCCATGCCAGTGGAAGAGTCAACAGAAGCCCCCAGATAGA